ACAGCGCATAAAGAAAGGTGAGCTTCCTACTGATTTGTTCTGCTCTGTTTGTGTTTCCTTAGATAACTGGTGCAGAAATGAGACCTGCTAAAGGGAGACGTCAGTCTGTCCAACCTGCAACGATGAGGATTTAATCAAGGTGAGTGGAAGAGCGCCTTGCAGCGGGTCAGGAGGCCTGATTTTTAGCTTTTAGCTTCCTAACAGGGTTATTTTTCTTTATATTGTTTTGCTCAGCCAAAAAGGAAAAAAACAGTAGATAATGTTTTTTCAGTTGTAACATTTTTAGCCAGAATTGAAGCATTCCCCTGTTCTGAAATAAAAAGTTCAATGAACGACCCTCTGATCAAAATGAAAGTGGTGGACCTTAAAGCAACTGGAAAGAATGATCCGGATTCCATCATTCCTGGTGAGGATGAGGTCTTTCTGAAACGCCTTTATTGCAGCCTAATATAAAATCAGCAATATGACCAAACTTCAGGAAACGCAAAGAGATAAAAGGCCTGATAGGGAGCTTTATGTTTCCTCTGTGGAGTTTGACCAACCTGAGACCGTTGAACAAATGACTCACAGCGAGTCTGCGTCTATAAAAGGCTCAGTAATCACTGCAAACTAGAGAAAGGACATTTCCAGTGGATGGTTCATGCTTTCCTACTGATGGCTATAAAAAGCATCTCCACGCTGCCTGATGTCTGATGTCTCCTCCTCAGTGGTTCCACAGAGAAGGAGACATCAGAGGCATCTGAGCATTTTAAAGATTCCTAAAGGGAGATTATGGGTCATATAGTCGCTCCTGACAGAAGTGAGGTCTGATCAAATTCATCAGAAAAGAAGCGGCTTGGATTCTCTCTGACTGCAGCCTTTGGTTCACCAGGAGTCCCACCTAAAGTCATGGGGATGATCGTGGTCAGAAAAGCCTCCACTGCCTAAAAGAGTCGGTTTGAGGCGACCCTGACAGGAGGAGACGGGTGCTGAAAATGTGATTCATCCTTCTTTCACAGTCAGCCGCTTGTTTCCGTCCCCGCCTCCTTCACACATCCCACCACTGAGCTGTTCCTTTCTGTCTGTCCATTGTAGGCAAGAAAGAGCTGATCTCTCCTCAGATAGAAGGAGAGGGAGGTTAAGCCTACGCTCGGCTCCTCTCGTCTCACTTTCCCCTCCTCATCTCTTCTCTCTCTGGCTGCAGGGCTGCGTTGAATCATAATAGTCAGTGGGCGAACAGGCAGGAGCAAGAATCCTCTGCACAGATTGTGACGTGCAGCTTTGACGGAAGCGGGGGTCCGATTGAATCAACTGTAGAGATGGAGAAAGTGACATTCATCAGCATCTTCTTACCCCCCCCCTTCACTGCAATGACTGTTTGGTGTTTTCACTCGTCAACATGGCTGAAATGATCCAAGCTGTCTTTAGAGCGTGGGTTATATAACCAAGACAAACAGAGCTGTTCCAGGTTAGAGTGGCTGTGAAGCTAATGACTTCAGGTTCCTTTGTTAGATTCAAAGCGATCAGGTGGGGGTGGGGGGGCAGGTTCAGTACAGCAGGCCTCCATCCCCGCTGCCTGCCGTTCACCTTAATGCTGCGTTCACACCGAACGCCATCAAAGACGCTCCTGCTGCTTCATCTCTGATCCACATTAAGGTCAGACGTCCAGTAAAGTGAGTCCAGATGTTTCTGCTGCTCCTGAGTTCAATGAGAGAGCAGCTTTGCTACATTAGCTGTGATCAGCGGCTAGAAAGTAGCTTTAAAGGAAAGTTCAGTCAGCAGGAATAATCAACGGATCATTATTTATACCTAAAACTCACAGGTTTGCAGTGATTTAATGAATTTAGCGTTCATTAGTAAAAAAATTGAAACAATAATTTTCATCATGATCACTGAGTCTGGGAGCGGCCATTTTTGCCCAAATATAGTAGCCCCTCCCTCCTGCCATCTTCCAGCAGTGACGTCACGGTGCGGTAAGCCTAGCGCCATTCTCCCCGCTTTACAAGCTAAATCAATGGGCTCAATCAATGAACTACTAGACACATCT